CTTCATATTTTCAGGGAGTGGTTTTAATTCCACCTCCGGTGCCTGCAAAACAGATGGTAGCGGCTTCTCGCTCGGAATGGTTAGTGGGAGGGCTTTAGAGTCCGGTGGCAAAAGTGGGAGTTGATTTAACTCCGCCACCATAAACTTCATGTTATTTGACATAGAGTATTCCAAAGTGAAATCCTCTATGTCATTTTCAATTGAGCTTAGTACCTCATCTTTTCCCTCAATTTCAAATACATCTTGGACCCAAGTGTCGCAAGTGTCAATCGCAAAAAAAGAGTGATTATCGGTGGGGTATTTCATGGAGTCGTAGATATTAAATTCAATTTTTTCACCATCGAACTCCATGGTTAATACTCCACTAAAAACATCAATTTTTGCCTTGGCCGTTTTCAAAAAAGGCCTGCCTAGTAAAATTGGGACTGCATTTTTATCGTTCTCCATTTCAAGAACGTAAAAATCAGTGGGAAAGATTAAGTTATCCACCATGACGAGAACATCCTCTACTACACCTTTAAGGTAAGCATTGGATCTATCGGCAAGTGGGATAACAACCCCCATTTCATGTAAAAGTCCTAGTTCTAGACACTTATATAGAGAATATGGGACGACATTGATTGATGCACCCAAATCTAACATAGCCCTAGAAGAACTAGAATTTCCAAGTTTACATGGTATAGTGAACATTCCCGGGTCATTATACTTTTTAGGCAGTTTCTTTTGAAAAACGGCCGACACTCTTTCGCTTACTTGGATTTTTTGCTTGCCATTCAATTTGTGTTTCCTTTTAATTGTGCAAAGTTCTTTTAAAAACTTTGCAAATCTAGGAACACTTTTTATTAAATTGAGAAGAGGGATATTTACCTCACATTTTCTGAAGGTCTCATAGATGTCTTTGTCATTGTTGTATTTCCGGTTATCCTTGAGAGCCTCTGGAAAAGGTGGCACCGGCTCATATGAATCGAGCGGTGGGAACTTTCTTTGAGGTGTGATCTCCTCCTCTTTTTCCACTTCATTTTGAGGATTTGTACTTGGCACCAAGATCTCCTCCTCTTCTTCTCCAACATGGCTCTTTGCTTTTGCCTTAGCCATAACCAATTCTTTGCCACATCTCAAAGTGACCGCATAAGCTTGTTGCCTTGGATTCGGCTCCGTTTGAGATGGGAGTTTTGCCGAATCCCTAGCTTCAAGCCTACTCACGACATTTGAGATTTAGCTCATTTGGCTTTCCAAGTTGTGGATGCTAGATTTTGTTGTTTCTTGAAATTTGGCCACACTTTGTTCCATCGTAGTCATGTTCATGGCTAGTGCTCGAATCATGTCTTCGGTGGAAATGTTCGAATTCGATGTTTGGCCTTGTTGTTTGTATGGTTGAGGAGGAGGGTTTGATTATTGAGGGGGTTGAGAGTTTCCGTACCTTAGATTTGGATGATCCCCCCAACCCAGATTGTAGGTGTTGCCGTGAGGATCGTACCTCCTTTGGCCTTGAAACCCCAAAGCATTAACTTGCTCGGAGTTCTCCTCTTGTAGAGTTGGGCAAGAATGGGTGGGATGCCCTTGTGTTGAACATATGCCGCAGACCTTGACTTCTTGGGTTTTTGGATTTAAGAGGAAATCTTTAACCAAAGAAGTCAAGCCGGCCACTTGACTTTCCAACGAGTTGTTGGATTCCGCCGCCATGACTATCTTTGTTGACCGCCGATTATAGTGTCTACAATTTTCGGCCAACTCCGAGATAAGATTCATAGCTTGAGAAGGAGTTTTGTTGACTATTCCTCCTCCACATGCGGCATTTATCATCCGTCTATCATCATCGCAACGACCATCGTAAAATTAAAGGATGAGGTCTTGCTCCGAATAGCCGTGATACGGGCAGCTTGCACAAAGTTTCTTGAATCGTTCCCAGGATTCGTAGAACGATTCATCATCTTTTTGCTCCACATTGCTGATTTGTTTCTTTAGAGATGAGGAGATTGAGGCAGGATAATACCTTTCGAGGAAGCTCTTCTTCATGGCCGCCCAAGTGTCTATGCTTCCCGAGGGAAGATAGAATAGCCAATTTTTGGCGGTGTCTTTGAGGGAGAATGGAAAGGCCCTCAACTTTATTTGCTCCTCGGTAACACCGTTCGGGCACATGCTTGTGCAAACGATGTGGAACTCCGAAAGATGTTTATTCGGATCCTCTCCTCACAGCCCGTGGAAAGATGGAAGTAGATGTATGAGTCCGGATTTCAACTCAAATGTAGCACCTGCATCAAGAGTTGAGAAGGTGATACATAAGGGTTGTTGATTTAGATTGGGAGCTGTGAACTCCTTCAGCGTTCTTGTTTCAAGAGCCATCGATATTGGCTCTTCGAACTCGCTAGATTGAGAACTTGCACTTGAGGATTCTCCCGAGTCGGTATTTGAGAATTTACTTTTTAACCGCTCGAGAGCTTGTTCTATTTCGGGGTTTGTTTGGTAGGTGAGTTGATTTATGGATCGGGTTTTTACCATATACTCAAACAAAGCTCAGAAAAATAGAAATCTTTATATATAGTTTTTTTTTCGATTTTTCTTGAAATAGAATAAAAAGAAAAATTAATTGTCTTTCCCCGGTAACGGCGCCAAATTTGACGAGAACTTTGTCACGGTGCGTCAAAATAATCCGATACTAACACTTATACGTAGTATAGGTGAAGTAGAATTCGTATCCACAGGGAAAGGAATACTTCTCTTTTTATAAAACTATGTAAATAAAAGGGGGGATTTGGATTGAATGATTTGATTTAATAAGAAACTAAGATGAACGACTTATATGAGATTTAATTCAAAGATAAAAAGGACTTGGCTTTGCTACTTTCCACTTGTTGATATATTTTAGTCGATCCTTGTTATATCTATAACATATCCCCTCTCGAATACTCAATCGAGAAGTATCTCTAATTCATCGAGGATAGTTATTAACAACGCCCGTTCATTAATAACTCTTACTATTAATCAAATATAGAACAACGCCGTATACCGATATAATAGTAGCATTCAATCTTTTTAACTCCTTGATGAAATCAATTGAGATTGATAACCTCAACACAACAGTTTCGGTTTAACCAACAAAGTTAATCACTCTTAAATCTATTAACCACGACCATGCTTTAATAGACCGAAGTTACTTACTTGTGAAACCACCAACGATTAACCATCGGTTCGTTGGTCGTTTCTAGTAGTAATTAATGTCGAAACGTTAACTAATCGTCACTTAGCAACCTTCCAACATTAATATAGAATGAGATTAAGGGAATAATTAATAATCAAGAGAAGAAGTTAAGAAAATAACTCACAACTTTAATAATCAACAAGCTTCAAGAGCAAAACCAAGAAATGGAAGTTTAGCTCATCATTTGGAGACTAAACATGCAATAAAAATATAAGAAATGCTATTCTAAACTGAGCTTAGGAGTATAGAAGAAGGGATGATTAAAAGTGAAGGGAATTGGGGCTATTTATAGGTGTTTTACAACACCTTTGGTCGGGTACCTGACCGGGTAAAGTGCCCACCCGACCGGGTGCATGTCAAAATCAAATATCCTCCATGTTCTGGTGATCTTCGCCATGTTAAAGTGTCCCGGGTCAAGTCAGACCCGACCGGGTCAAATAGGGGACCCTACCGGGTCTAGCTATTTCCTCAGGGATTCGGTTCTCAACTCAGACCCGACCGGGTTCAGGGTCTGACCCGGCCGGGTTTTGTGCTCTTAGACCTTTTTTATCTTCAGCTTTTTTCTCCTTTTCCTTGCTAAAAACACTACCACTATTCTACAACTACACATGAAAGCTAAAAACAATTACAAACAACATAAAACAAATGTTTACAAACTAACTAAAGATGATAGAAAATCTACACAAAGTCAATACAAAAACATACATTTATGCACTATAAAGTAATGCATATCAAATATCCCCACACTTGAATCTTTACTCGTCTCGAGTAAGTGTAATCCAAGAAATCCTAAAATGACAACCATCACAAAGTTTTTCTGAAAAATAATCACAAGGTATCCCCAACATAAAGAGGCCACATCAAGGGGTCTTCCATTCCAATTTCTTCATGCAATGAACCTTCTTTAGTCATCACCCTTAGGATCGTGCAGAATAAAAAGAACTACTTTCTCTCATTCTCTCATTTTGTCTTGGTGCCCTTTCGGGTTTTCAACCCAGCTTCCCACATTTTCTTTCAAAAAATCTCACAATCTCACAAGTTATTTTTGAAGATAACTGCGCAGTTAAACAACGCAGTACATTTCGGAAAACCATTTGACTGCTTTCCGAATTTAATTTTTAGCTGAAATTTGATATGGGTAAACTAGACTTAATGAAGAAGATGCTCAAAAAAATTAATCAAAACATTTTACCGGGAACCGCCCCAATTGGCGACGGTCGGGCAGAATCTCCTAAATAAGGGGCAAATTGAACACTTTAAGTTAGTTCATGTACCTATTTGACCCTTTAGGATGTTTTTACTTGGACTGTAATTTGCTGGTCTGGTCTGATCTGGTCTGGTCTGGTCTGAAATGGTCTGGTCTGGTCTGGTCTGATTTCTTTGTATTTTTATAACTATCCAAGTCTGATCTGCTCTGAACTGGTCTGGGATGAATTAAAGTCCAAGTAAAAACATCCTTAGCCTTTTTTCAATATGGAGTAACATACGCTACCTTCATTTGGGTGGAGGCATATTTACGCTAGCTCAAAGCTAGCTACTTGCTAGATACGTAAAACACACCATGAAGCAGTGTGGCTGTTTTCTTTTTTGTTTTTTTTAATTGCACCCAAAAGCGTAGTCCTTTATATTTTTTTTGGATAAAATGTAAATATATATCCAGAAAAAGTGCATAATACTTCCTCCGTTCCATAAAAGTTGCATCATTGGAATTTCTGTACTATTCACACACTTTACTTTGATTACGATTTTCTAATTATATATATAATAAAAATATTATGTATAAAATATTAATAAATTTGTATTAATGTAAATTTCCAATATATTAACTTTTTTTAATGTTTACTAATACGTATATAAATATAATTACAGTCAAATTGCGTGTGGACAAATGTAAAAGTCAAACTGTTGCAACTTTTATGGAATAGGGGATAATACAATGCATCAAAAAATCAAAACAACTATCTAAGCTAGCATGCTAAACTAAAATAGTATCTACCGTATCCACCCCCACACCCCCTCCCCTCTCACCTTACAGTAGGGAGGAAGAAGAGGGATAATTTTTTCAGAAGTCAAAACGGCACGCGACAGGCCCCAGCTCAAATCATAAAGAGTCAAGTAACCAAACTGGACTGGCCCATGAAGGGCCAGCCCATAAACAAGTCAAAACATGTCAAGCAACTCAAAAGAAACATCTGCTAGGCCATGAAACTAATGAAAGCCCAGACCCAACGCAAAAAATGCATCAAGTAGTCTTTCCAGCGGACAGCCCAAAGCAGGAATCATCAGGCCCAACCGCGGTCCACATGCAGCCCGTTAGGGTTTCCCAGCAGCCCAGCATCCGACTCTCTCTTGTCCCTCAGCGCCGCAACTTGGATTCAAAATTCAAACAAAAAAGGACAGTCAAACATCAAAGGACAGGCAGTCCAGTCTGACCTGTCCACCTGTCATCATCACGCAACCCCCCCCCCCCCCATCCCTTCCACCCCACCTGGCCTGGCAACCCCAGGTTTTCTGGTGAACGGCAACCGAAGGGCAAAAGAAACCAACCGGTATAAAAGCTGCCAAACCGAGGTCCCCCATCTCACCCCCACCCCCGTCAAGCCCCGGCAGCCCTCAACGGCAATGGTGGAAGCAAGCTTGGTTTCAACAGTAGCCGGAACTAGTAACGTCAGGCAGAAACAATTCCCGGTGAGGCGGTCGTCTTCTCCGGCGAAACCTGGCCGCTTTCCTCAGTTTTCATCCAAACAAACAAAAATCATAACTGGGAAAATTCAACCAGTTGGTTCTGTATCCGCTCAGCACCTTCCGATTATCCTCACCGGCAAACACCAAGAACCCTGCCTACGATCAAAACTTTCAGACCAAGACCCACTTTCAATGCCACAATCTCCAAGCAAGCAAAACCTGTGTATCATGATAACCATCCCCTTGTTTGAGGTTCAAATCCGTTGACCTCAAGCTCCATCTTCCATCACCAAAAACAACCCATGGCAGATCCGTTCGTCCCGTCACATGCCCCCCATCTCAAAACATGCACCCGGGGTTACTAACAGTCTTCAGAGGTCGCTCGGCAATATCCAGCACAATCTTTAGCCATTGGAGAACCAAGTTCACCTGTAACCAACTGATTCCAAGCCACCAGTAACCTTTTTCATTTCAAATCCGTAGGCGTAACCCCTTCCTTCAACCTCCAAGCCTCCACGCATGACTCGTTCACATCTGTCCCAGGCCCCACCAACTCAAAACCTGCACCCAGAGCTACTGACCGCCATTGACGAAGGGGATAGGATTTTCCGGCGAGGTCTTCAGCCCTTGGAAAAACGAAGTTTCAAAGCTAGTTCACCATCAAGATTCCGGCGAAGGGAAACTCATACCACCTAAGTGGTAGACAAACTTTTCCAAAAAAGTAACCATAACACCTGAGACCCGCCATAGCCAGGAGGGCCTCGGCGGCGGCCACCGTGAGTGGTGGTGCTGTTGACCCGAGGAAAAGCTGTGAGGGAAGAATCTAGCCGCAAATGGCTAGAGAGACACTCTCAACTTCCGGCGCAGATTGTGACTATTTGTGAAAAGAAAATCGTAGTTAGTCCACTGTTGAAAAAAAAAAGAAGTGATAAAAGTGATATTTCTTTCCTTTTTATTCTATTTGTGATAATTTCCCATAAAATTAAGACAACTATTCAGGGATAGCTAAGAGATATATTTTTTAACGGAATTAAAAATTGGAACAACCACTTTCTATCACGGGCCGGCAGGGTTGTTTTACTTCGGAATTTGGTCCAAACAATGCCAGCCTATGCTATGAACGTGTTCTTACTACCTCGAGAGTTATGCGATGAAATTGAGAAACTTATGAATGACTTCTGCTGAAAAGAAACAAAATTTGATAAAAAAGGAATAAGGTGGAGGCCTTCGGAGCTAATGTGTAAGCCGAAGGGAGCAGGTAGTTTGGCGCAGTTTATATCCTGAGATCGACGCACCATGAGCATGGTGCGCCCGATCCCAAAACGACGCAGCATTCATTTTTTTATTTGTTTTATTGTTAAAAATTGTAATAACTTTTTTATTTGATATCCGATTTTTATAAATTTTATATCAATTTTTTTTTATTTTTCATTATCTATCAAATGAGACCAATATTGCTTATGTAAATTTAACAAATTATTTTGAAGTTACATTTGATAATATATCATGAAGTTACATCTTCTTCTGCGCGAGTTACATCTTATTGTACGTGAGTTACATCTTAATATACACGAGTTACATTTTAATGTATGTGAGTTACACCATGAAATAAACCCCTGCTACATCTTTCATTTTTATCATTTGAAAAATAGTGAATGAATATGAAATACAATATACTTATTTTATGTGGATTAATAAAATTTTGTATTAAATTGGCAAAGAAAAAAACTAATTCAGTTATAATTGAATTAGTTTAAGATAAAGATAAGTAAAAAATCACAAATAATTAGATATAACTCATCCATAATTACCTGTAACTCGCGCATAAATGTATGTAACTCGTGTATAACAAGATGTAACTCACACATAATTACATGTAACTCTCGCATAAAAGTATGTAACTCGTGTATAGCAAGATGTAACTCACACATAATAACTTGTAACTGGAGTATAAGATGATGTAACTTCGTATATTATCAAATGTAACTCCAAGCTAGAAGCAAAATAAACAAACTCCATATCTTAAAAACCTCTAAAATCATATAAAAGTGATAAAAAATATATTATAGAAAAAGTGTATGCATATAAAAATATATTACAAAAAATGTATGAATGTAAAAAATTAAAATTACATAGGCCATATTGGTCTCATTTGAAAGATCATGAAAAATAAAAAAAAAATTGATATAATTTTTATAAAAATCAGATCAAAAATAAAAAAATTATTAACAATTTTAAGAAAAGGAGAAATAGAAAATAACAAAGGGTGCATGGTGCTCACCATGCACCGATCCCACGGTATAAGCACTGGTAGTTTGGGGTTTAGAAAAATAAAGGAATTTAATTTAGCTATGTTGGCTAAACAAGGTTGGAGGTTAATCTCATATATGGGTAGCCTGATGGGCCGAATTCTGAAAGCTCGTTATTTTTCTAATTCGGGCTTTTTGCAGGCAAAGTTGGGAAATAACCCCTCATTTATTTGGCGGAGTATTCTTGAGGCCCAAACAGTGCTAAATGATAATGTCAGAAGAGAGTGAGTAATGGTAGGGAGGTTCAAGTTTGGGCGGATGCATTGCTACCAGGGCCAGGTTCGGGTAGAATACAGTCTATTAAACCAACATGGATTGCAGACATGAATGTTGCGGCTTTGAGAGATATTACAGGCAAAAGATGGAATAGAGAGTGGATCTCAACTATTTTCAATGAGGAAGATAGTACGTTAATTACTAGTACTAGTATTCCTAATAGTATGTTGGACCAAAAGGATGGATACTGGTGGAAGGGGGAAACTAATGGGACCTTCACGATATTGATGGAAGGGGGGAAATAATGCTACCGGATAATAGCATGAGACGGTGGCAAATAATTGGAATGAGTGAACGGGCTTGTGGGAACAAACATTCTGCCAAAGGTTAAATATTTTCTTTGGCAGGTACTGGATGGATCACTGCCATCCCTGGCTAGCCTGGAACAAAAGGGAGTGCCTGTGAAAAATACGTGCCCACAGAACGTGCCCCCGGGTGGCACAAGTGTGGATAGAAGCTGGGATTGATGTCGGCAGCTCGGAGGAGTGTAAGGAATAAATTGTATTTAGATTTTGATGATGCTAGCTCAATTATGATATTAGAGTACCCCCTTTAGAAATCTTGTATTGGAATTTTTCTAAATGTATGCTTTAGATTATTCGACGGAACAGAAGACCTCAGCTCTTCTATTGCACTATCTGGGCAGAAACTCTCAGACTCTGCCAAGCCAACAAAACTGCCCGACACTTAGACGGATTTCTACACTCGGCCTTAGTCAATCAAAACTAACGGGAAATACCCTAACGGCTAGGAGCCTCTCAACGGAAAAGCTACAGGACGCACATCAAATGCTCATTTAATGAGCTTCACTCGTTGGGATTTTAAAGCTGATGATTGACCAAACTAATATCTTCTCGCCCCCAAAATAGCAAGTCAGCTACTTTTTGAGGATCAACCGGTCAAATCAACAGTACAAGCATTTAATGAAGTATAAAATATACACTACGAAGGACTGGAACTCTAACGATTCAACTATTCTCTCAGTGCATACTTTCAAAAACGCTCAAGACTACAACTTCCATTCTTCAAAGAGCAAAAAGATTTTACATTGGAAAAAATTATAAACTCTATATCTTTTCTTTCCAACGTGAGAGAACCGTTCCTCCAGTTCTTCAACACTTCAAAAACCTCAACTATACATCAATTGTGACGAAGCTACATTGGAGAAACGTTTTTAAAGCCAAACACTTCTTGCAAAAGAAGGGACGTCTCAAAGTAACTGGAGTAGTAAAGTGGAGATACTTCAAGGAGACTCAGTGAAACGAGACCAGTCATAAGGAAGCAAGTGACTGTATCCCGGGTGACAGCTGGACTTGAAGAAGATGTGGAGAGCTTCTTAAGTGCTTTCTCCAAGTGTTATAACCTTTGTTTTTACAAGCTTAGTGGAATAGCGGACTAGAGGAACGCGTTGTTCCTTGAACCACTATAAAAATCCCTGGTGTCATTTATACTTTACGCACTTTACATTTCTGCATTAAGATTCTGACTGTTTGACCCAAAAGGTTAGAACTCTGTGCTCATCAGATCTCCCTTGTGAGTTAACGGAAAGACATTTGCCTTAGTGTTTTTCTTAGGCTACCCGAACAGAGAACCTATCCGTTGCCTAGACCAATTCTGTCACCAGAACTCGACCCTCTCTATGAACTAAACAAAAATATACCATACATTAAAATTCACAAAAGAGCCAAAATGTAGAATACTTCATAAATAGCTCAAACCTCAAATATAATCCCAACAACAATTCATACGATAACTCAAATACTCAAAAATATGATCCAATATCCAATACTCAAATCTCAAATATAATTCTCAATAACAATCCATAAGAAATTCCAAATACTCAAATGTAAACACTAGAAATCTCATAAAATTTCAAGAATAATCATACAAAGAATTACGAGGAAAAGTACTCCCTCCGTCCCGGAAAGGTTCGCCAAATTGATTTTTCTCGGTCAATGGCAATCAACTTTGACTAATGATATTTCTTAATACGAAATTATTTAGAATATGAAAATTATACGTAGTATAAAAATGTTCATCATTCAACATATTTTCATAAAAGTATAGAATTTATAAATTATATACAAATATAATAATTGAAGTCATCGTCCAAAGTTTCTCATCATTGACCACGAAAAGTCAATAATATGGCAAACCTTTTCGGGACGGAGGTAGTATAATTTTGGTTGACGTGAAGAAAACCCGTTGGGACAAAAACTTGGCTAAGGAATAGAATAGCACATGGTCTTTTGGACCAATTAATTGTTTCATTTCTACATAGTTTGAGCTGATCAAAATCTTTAGTATATAAACCTCCATGATTATTTATACAGCAAATTTGATGGACATTAGTCACCAAACTCTTGAAGAGTTTCTAAGCAAAAACAATTGTCTAAATTCATGATTCTGCAATGTGTATTTCAAGACCATCAAGTTTATTGTTATTATGAACATCAAATATTCAATAATTGAGGATTCTCAAATATTGGTCCATAAAACTTAAATGGGACATGTTTTGATCCTCTCAGGATCTCAAATTAGTATACAAACACTTCAAGTGTTAACAATATAATGACTAGATATTGTATTTATTATATAATCAAGAGTTTCTAGGTTTGGCTAGACGCTTAAAAACCTCCAACACCTTTATTTATACAATTTGGTTTATAAAATAATTTATGTTTACTTCAGGTAAACAAATAGAAAGTTTATGAGTAATTGCAAATTCATTGCATAATGTTTTCCTTATTCAACTCTTTCTGCAGGAAAGGTTGAGAAGTACTATAAATATAGCTCACTTTAAATTAGTTTAAATACTAGTCATGAAATCATGTGAAAACAAATAAGAAAATTGTTCACATTAGATCCTCTTCAGGAGGCATTCACTCACTACAAGTGATATTTTGACATGATGCAAAAACCTTGTTCAATCAGGATATTACAAAATATAATTTGCACCATGATATTCAAGCATAGTTCTTCTACAAAATAAATCATTTCATCAAGACTTATTGTACTCACCCAGGTTGTAGTTAGGCACAAGCGTCCATTTTATATGTTTTTCAGCTATGCTTAGTATTTACTGCATTATTTATTGTTGCAGTTATTCAATCAAATTCAAATTCTTTTTCAAGAATAATTCCAAATATAATTTCCATAACTTAACACACAATCACCTTATCTAATTATTATAAACATAAAAGAATGCATATTCATGTTACATGTTGTGTGCACATATTTCTTTTCACTATTGTCCGTCAGGGATACAATTGATATTATATTATAACAATGACATCCATTTTTCTCATCAACTGCCACATTTACATAACTTTAAACTATAACAGAAGTGCAGTCTCAAAATCATTCAATCTCAAGTATTGTCACCCCACGTACACAATATCTTGATTTATGGGACTTCAGGCCCAATATAAAATATTTTCTTATCCATAAACATCGATCATAATTCACAAAATCTTAGGACTACAGGTCCATCATAATTCGTCTGGCCAGACTTTATTATTATGAATTATGAGTCGATAGTTATGGTAAAATAAATCATTGTCGTCAATCTAATCAATATCATTCATGTTTCATCAAAAGTCCTCTATATGAGTTATAAAAGAGGAACTCATGTTCTGTATCATAGAGTTTCTATACCTTATCAGTTGCAGCATTTAACTTATATTATCCTCTTGTAGAG